TTGGGGGGGGGGGGGGGCAAGATGACACCTGGTGTACGATCTCTGGAAGAAGAAAAAGACGCGGGACATCTCCATGTTGTGGAAATCTCATGCAGGGGTAAACCATTCCCAAGGGGGAAATGTCATGCCTCGTGACAACACCCCACAACAAGATTGGTAGTGTAGGATTTGTGATTAAATTGGAAAGCGAGGTTGGACAGCAAAAATTGACGCTTGAGTGACTTACTCTCCAGATACTGCATGTAGAAACCAGCCATGGTGTCGGTTTTTGTCTCTGTAAAAAGAAATTCCAGGAGAAGCGAGACAGAGATAGAACGGCAGAATGTATGAGTTTCTACAAACAGTGGAGGTGACGATGGTGAAAAAGAAGGAGGCGAGGAGGCCGCGGGTAGATGTCCGAGATCCGAGGATGTGATGCAATCGAGCCTAACTAAAAGGCAGAAGGGGATGCGAGGCAGTACCAGAAGCGGGTGGGCAGGTATGGACGACGAAGCTGCATCACCTTGATGAGCAGTCAACGGCGAGACATGTGTGCTTTACATATTGCAGTGAAGGAGCAGCTTCGTGCGGGGCAAGGGGGGAGGCAAAAATGTCCGAATTCAGACGCCAAAGAGACGACATGAGGGAAAGCCAAACGGACAGGAGGAGAAAGTGTTCGTCGGATGCAATGTTTGACCGTCAAGATGCGGCTCAAAGTGTGACCCATCTTGATGCGCTGGCATTGTCGTTGCCAGTTGATAGAGCCGGAGACTGGGCCAACTCCACACCACACATACACCACCCATGGGGTATGCATTAATATGCCTGGGGGGGAAGATCTGCTTTGATAAGTCGAGCCAGTCTTGGATTGAAATGGGCATAGATGGAGCCCGACACCATTTGTGTGATATGTTCTTTTCCCTTTCCGGCACCTGGCTCAACTCTTGGGTCGGCCTCCACATGTTCTTCGGCCTCGTTCGCCGCCCTAGCACACCAGGATCGTGTCCCATCGCTAAACAGATGAGATAGGCTCGCGGGGCTTTTTGATTATGCAGAGTTAGGCATAGCGAGGTGGCAAAATCGGATGCCCAAGAGCCAGTCTGGTGTTCCAAGAGAGAAACCGAAGCAAGACTCGAAAATTCGGGAGCAAGCGGTCTTTTGCCGGCAACCAGTCAAGTTTCAGAAGTGGCTTATGTTGAAGCCAAGGGGTGCCAGAAGAAAGGATGTGCCTGGCTCGCAAGTCGTGGGCACGAAAAACAGTCAATGAAAAACATCAAGCCCGGTAAGATCCATCTGACTGGTGGCTCTTTAAACCACTTATGCAGCCTGGGCTATGGCACATCCAACATGTATCCTCGGTAGTACTGGTGTTTGTGCTATCGACACTGTCGATAGACGGACCGCATGGCCTCTGCGGTACCTTTTTCCAGTAGAGATGAAGTGCGTCTCCACTTGCTATGCTACCGTCAGAGATCAACGGCAGAGGTAAAATAGCACCAAAGTCGGCGGGTCCATATACTGCTACATACATGAACCAGCCAGGAACGGGGTCGGGGTTGGGGGTTGGAACCCGGGGGGGGGGGGGGCGATGAATAGCCAAGCGGGCAGGGAAGGACGGGAGAAGTTGAGATGGCATGTTCGGTTTGGGTGACCTCGCTGAGAGGTGAACCGGAGATCATTGGCGCTGTGAAATTTGTGGGCCAGAACTCGGGCAACATGGGCATACCTTGGTTCGGCAGGCAGCGAGACCTGGGAGGGAGGAGAGACCAGCGGCGTTGGCGACCTTTTCGGAGCTGGTCAGCACAAAGGAAGGAAGGACGGCTGGCGTATCAAAACCGCGGGATCAAGAGATCCGGAAAGACAACAACAAGCCGGTGGTGTTGCTGGGTGGTGTTTTCCGGCCGGGCCATCCATCATCCATGGACCATGGACCATGGACCACCGGCTGCTCGTCGGTGTTTGTTTCTCTCTTGGCAGCACTCATCTTCCAAGCTGTCTACCTAGTTGGTCAACAAATGGGGCAGGGTGTCGAAGTGGTGAGAAATGGTTGTCATGGTCACGGAAAGGGCCGGTACAAAGGTCTGTGTAGTGGAACAAACCGAGCCGTATCAAAACGACTGGCTCTTTGGCCGACCACGAAGTCGGTGAATGAGGGATGAGGTGCATGAACAGTGGCTGGGCCGGCGAACCCTTGCATGTCCTGGGTGCGGGTGCGTCTGGCCCCAGGAGAGAGCGAGGTCGCTGAATGGCCGGTCTCATGGCGAGGCCGCAAGGCCGCGAGGCAGCTAGGCACAAGAAGGCCTTAAGACGCATGCAATGATGAGTTGGCAATGCTGCTGGATATTACATCGACAAGCCAGAATGGACTGGTGCAGAAATCATGGAAGACGTGCTGCGGGCACTGCCAGACGAGTTGCGTGACAAGAGCACCAGGCGAAGAACAGGCAGTGACAGGCCCTTCCTTGCCCTCACAGAGGTACGGGTACAAGTCCTCAGCTGGAGGGGTTCCAAGGGAGCCAACCGGGCCGGAAGAGATACATCGACGGAGCAGTCAACGGGCCCAGCATAGGTTGCCGTGCTATCCACAGGCCGGCGTGTAAGAAAAGAAGGAGGAGAGCGCGGGCGGAGGAAAGCGGGAAGAACGAGGGCAGCCAGTCACGATGGCGATACTTGGTCGCTGTCGCTGGCGACAATTGGTGTTGAAAGGACGGGGAGGAAGAGGAGGAGGAGGAGGAGACCAGGGAGACGCACCCAAGTCATCACCAATGTGAGCGTCAATGTTCACTTCCTGTCTGCCTGCCCATCGCTCGTCGTATGTGAATATCGTGATTCGGCTGTCATCTCTTAGGCTTCACCGTGTATGTATACCTTGCCGGGACAGTAAGTGGCCATGGGGCTGTTGGCATGGCAGTAACGGCTCGTGTTGAGGTGCAAGAAGCCTACACCTCGGTTTGAGGATTTGAATATGAGAGGTTGAAAATGCACATGAAGAGACGAGATCTCGTCCGAATTGTTCACTGAGAATGAGGGATGCGGGGACTCTGTGCTTGCTCCGTGCATAACGAACATGGAGGGAGCTCTTGCTTAATGGGTTCAGTGGTACATACCTACCTCTACTGGTACTGTACGAAGCATGCCTTATCGCGCCTGCCCTACAAACTTGAGGTTCCATTTCTTTCCGTCTCTCTGTCACTTATCTCCCACCTGAATCGGCATTGGAAAGATCGGTGCATGCCACCATGTTCGACGCCGTCTCTGTTTCACACGGGAAGGTTATTTCCTTGGACACCAAACACAGGGCAAAAAGGATGCGAACCAAGCAACCTCGCCGCGACCTCCAATGAGATTGCAAAGCACATGAAAGTGCGCATGGTTGGTGGTCAATGCTCCTGGATTTTCAATCCATGTCGCTAAAATGGAGGGGGAAAGAGGGGCTTTTTTGAGTTAAACATCCAAAGATGGAATTCTTCTAGAACACGGACCCAGCGAACACCCAAGCCCTCACTCAGTGAGTGTCATTGATTTTGCCTCATATACTTTGCCATAGACCATACTTGAATTGTGTCGTCCGAGCCTCGTATCAACTTCTTTGCTATCGATAGGTTTTGAAAGCTCCGATATTAGGTTGACTTGGACATGGCACCATCGAGGATAAATAGACAGGAAGACCCAAACACTTGGATAAAGAGAATCCATCGCCCATGAATCCCCCTCCTCGATCGACATTCTCGGGCTCATTTGCTTGAACCTGATCCCCAAGCTGTGACGACTGAATCAGCACTCGACATAGAAGACCAATCAGACCACCTCTAATGCCATCGTCTCACTTCATCGATCAGCACTTTCCTTGAAGAATCGGGGGTCAAGGGAGTCGTTCTTTCCTTTCTGCTTTCCTGTTCCCTTCGGCCCCGCATGCTCGCTCCGTTCCTTCTTCCCCTTTCCGATGGACACGAATCAGGTTGACATCCACTGCAATCAATGATTGACACGAGGAGGGGTAGAGGTAGAGGTAGGTACGTACGCTCGGTACCACGGTACGGTACAGCTGAGCTGAGCTTTTGAGGTTGTTCCCCTGTTCCCCCTCATCAGAGCCATCACTCGCATATGGTGATGATCAGCCCTTCTGATTTATTCCATTGCAACGTCATGCTTCAATTTCAACATCAACTTACCAAACCCACCAGCTGCGATCTGGCTTCATGCAGTCTTAGTTTGTTTCCAACCTCTTCTCCAGCCATCGACTGCGCCACCAGGTCGCCGTAACGGGCCTCATCCCGTCGAAATGGTCGATTTGACCGGAGAAAATCACGTCGACTGCCAAGAAACAAAAAGCAGGGCCCGGCAAAGACGGGCAAAGCTGCTTGGTGTCGGAAAAATCATCACCATTATATTCCATCATGCCGGCTGATGGGATTTGGCTTGCACCTTTGGACTGCTGTCGCAACTCTCACAGCTTCCATGGCACTCTCGTTACCATCCACATGGGTTGAGTCAACGCTTGACCATCATCCTTCCAAATGACTATCACCTCTTCTTGCCATGTACCACGTTGCTCACATTTCGGTAACACAGGTGAGATTACACGACAGAGCATGAACCACGCATGTTCAGAATTGAGCAGCAGTTCTGCAACATTCTACGACTTGGTTACTTTTCTAGCCATTGCCATATCATTGGCAACTATTGACTGATGCCACCCGGGACTCATCCGAGTGCTTATCCAAGGACCCGGCCAGAATATAATCGGGATATTGATCATCATGAAGGCTGCGAGATGATGAAAACTCAACCAATAAAATATATATGGACCGTCTAAGAATGGTTCTTTGATTGGAGCTGGTTTGTTCTTAATCCAAACCCCCACTCTGCCACCGTCCTGTGATCCTGATTCGAGACCTCCGCCGACCGAACGACTGACAAGCATTCCGGGCGAGTGACACAGATATCGGGCACTGCTAGAGGATTTATGGCAAGCAACACCACTTTGACAAGATGTCTTTGAGGATTCCAAGCCTTTGGTGGTCGACTTGATCCATAATGCGATTTGGTTTCCCGGACGTTCTGTCCGGCAGCATGATTCCTGTACAAGGGTCAAGTGTGGGAACAAAGCAACATCCTGCCTATTTCTCTTGTCTTGACTCACATACTTTTCCGCAGGGATATCGTCCATGGCCTCGAGATTTGTTGCGGTGCATAGACTGCCATGTTCCCAAAGTGTTGTACGCTCACGGCCTCTCGGCACGCATTCCTACATCTACATCTAGCCAGCCCTTTCCTTCGTTCCATATCTCCACGAGTCAATCGATGGTGGCGTGCTCGGAAGGATGGAAAGGATGGGCAGCGACGGATATCGACAGTCAATAACCGATCGTTGGATACATTTCAGGGTCAAATCCATTTCACCCAAGTCTCAAGCCAGGGTATTTCCATCCCAAACATCATATCCTGCAGTCACTATGGTATCGCTTTGTTTCGGAACGGATGGGTGCCTAACCGCGAGGTGGAAGTGCAGTGGAAGGCTTCGCTTTGCCTTGGCGATTGCTTCTGTCCTAGCGCTCTGATAGGCTAACTTGCAAATTTGCAAGACAAACCCACAGAATCCAATGATCATGGTAGCGGAAGCCTTTCCGAGAGCCGCTCTTTGCTGTCAGAATGAGAGTAATCGCATTTGATTTGGGGGGGGGGGGCGAAGAGACGGATGTTGGGCTTACTAAGACTGACCGTTAATATCTCTATACTCACAATGACCAGGTGTCGGGCCAAGTATTCCTTCCATCATTGACGTGCTTATTCGTGCGATCTTTCTTTCAGTCCTTTCAAGTCTGCATCGGCTTGCCCACGGCATTGCAGGATATCATATACCGGCCAATTGGCAGCTTAAGAGCACTGAAATATGCTTGGTTCCGGCCGCCAATGTCACTCTTACTTATCTCAAACCTCTATACATGCGATGTGATGTACAAAGGGAAAGCTTATACTGTTAATGCCGGCAGTGTCTGAGGTGCTTAGGCTCGATAGCTTGTAAACATGAGATTGGCTGGTCAGTATCAGGACTTAAGTAGAGAACAATAACAGAGCAATATTTGGTGCTTTATCATATTTCGCTATGTGAGTTACTGATCAGCCCTGACATTCAATCTGATATGTCCTTGCCGCCTTGCTTGTTGTACTTATTCTAGGCATGCTTGTAGACTACATGGTTAACCCAACGCGAGGGCTTAGTAGCGAACTAAGCATGCCCGTCTATCTCTGACGATGCCGAGAAACATATGCTACCCAGTGTACGACCTGCTTTGAATACAACCACCTAGATGGAAGCGTACGCCCATTTCCGCAGGCCATTGCAAAGATACCATTCTCAGCGTCCCTCACAATATATACTCATCACCAAGTACTCGCTGCCTTGATATCACAAACTACCTGGTCACTATTCCGCATCACTCTTCCCCTTTTCCCCAAGGACAGCCACAGCACCCCATTTGACTGGAACCTTCCTCCCATTCTATCCCAATCTACCCAATCTACTCAATTTACCCAATTCCCTATTGCCCATCAATAATGTCCTTGTCCTCACTCTCCCCCTAAAGTGGAAGCGAACCCACTTCTTCCCTGGAAATACGCCCTGATTGCGTTCACATTCTTCTGCGGGATCGCATAAGCCGGGTGGATAGGCCTGACCCGATCCGAGTCTTCGTAAATCTGGTCATTTTCGTCAATGTAAGGGAAGACGTTCCAGACGGAATCGGCGCCCAAAGCGGCCAGGCTGGGGGTAGTATCTCCGTTGGGAAGGGGAAGGGGATCGGAGTCGAGGTCCCATTGGTGTTGAGCAGAAGAGAGGCCGGAGAGGACGTAATTGGTGTGGTAAGGGTCTGACATTCTGAAGGGGGGGCGTTAGCATAGATAGAGGTTATTGAAGGGGGGATGAGGTGAAGTGGAGAGGGGTGGTGGGTTAGCTAAGTTAAGGAGACCTGAAACGAAGGTGAAGCGAGGTGACGAAAGGTGGAACAGGTGAGGTAAGAAGGTGAAAGAATGTAAAGTAAGATAGGTGAGGTAAAAAGTAAGGTGAGATGATGTAAAGTAAAGCGAGGTAAGATCGCAGAGTACAATGAAACCTCAATCGGAAGCAAAATAAAGCAAAGCGTAAGAAAATGGAAAATAAGAAAGACTCACTTATATGGCTTATCCCTCAGTCCACCCCTCTTAGTCTGGTCCTGGCAACAGCACAGGATATACCGAATCAAACCTTCTCGACTATAGAGACTCTCCGGCGCAGCCGCAAGACCGGTGGCTGTCTTGTTCTTCTCGGAACCGGGGCCGGAGGGACTGAGGCATGCCTCAATAAGGGGGAAACATCCACCCGCCCAGTGGCTGTAACAGCCGTCAACCAGCTTGTTGGTGCGTCCCGAAAACCCGCCTTCGGGTGCGTACTGCCGGTAAGACAACCAGGAAATGAGGCGTGGGACGTCTAGGTAGCTGGTGGGTGGGAAAGAGAACTTGTTAGCTGTCTGTATGTCTGATGAGAAGGTGCTTAGAGGGGGTCATGCGCATATGACATGCATTGTGCTTGTTGTCATTGTTGAAATGGATATTTTATAAGACAGGTGGTGAAAGATCTGGCTTGTTTGCTTCATGTTTTCTGGGGACCGTGATCAAGCCTGCTTACCTTGGAATGATACGGCGAGGGTTGTCCAGGATGGCGAGACAGGCGAGAGCGCAAAAGGCATACGCGCCATGGGCCTCGTTGTTGGGTTGACTAGATATCCCGCCCTCGAAGGTTTGGCCTGGGCTCATGTTAGTCTGACTGCTTCTTCATAGCCTCTTCTGTGTCGATACAAGGATGTAACACTAGGGTAACACTTACAGCTACGCACATATTCCGCTAAGCCAGTCAACAGGTTTGAGCGACCGTCGTATGCAGGAGATTCTGGCGTCAAGTCCAGAGGCAGATCGAGCAGAGTGATAATCACAGCTGCGATATATGCCCCCCTTTTCGGTTACCCCTGTGATGTCAGTCAACATGTTCAATTAAGAGAAGTGTGGCCTGGGACCAACGCACCTGATATCCTCCTCACCTCCCACGCATACCTGAAAGCCACCATCAGGTTGCTTTAAAGAGCACAACCATTTCCACATAGCCTTCTTATCGATAACATCATATGCCTCCTCACCTCCAACCAGGGCGATAGCTAGGATGACCGCATACGTCGTAGCCAGGTGCGAAGTCTGTCCATGGCCTCCACCGAATCCTCCAGACTCATTCTGCATGGTGCGAGCGGTCTCGATAACGCTATCCCGGTAACTGGACACATCTTCCCCCATCATGGTGAGACCGGACAGACACCAGTAGAGGTACCATGGCCTGCTAGCGTCCACTGCAACGAAGCGACCTGGTAACGGGCCAAGGGACTGCTTGAGAAACTTGATATGTTTCTCCCTGTTCAGCTTGGGAAGGCCATAGTCGTTGAGATCGAGAGGTCCATCCTCGCCGGTCAGGAAGGGTAGACAGTGCTCAACAGTTTGGTCCTGGAGTTGGGAGGTGGCCGTGATGAGGTCATCCTTCACCAGGGAAGGCTGCTTGAACAGGTCGGGAATCATGGGTTCGGGCTGTGCTTGCTGCTCTGCGGAATGACTCAAGACAAACTCCTCGTCGACGTATTCAAAGTCGTCGTCGGTGATGGCGTCCAGGTTTTGCTGAGAAGAAGTAGCGACCCCCTCTTGGGAGGTCGGGAAGGAGGAGGTGGTGGAGGCGGCCATGTTTTCCTTTTTGTTCTTTGGAAATTTGCGAATGAAGATGGCGCGATTCCGGCACCGCGCTCCCTTTGTGCGCACCACCATCAATCGAACAGGCAGATTTAGTGAGAAGAAAGTGGCACAATGGTTGAGATTCTCATCACACTTGGTATTGTTCTTGCTGCTGCTCTAAGGTTGGTATGCTACAAATAGACGGATGATCGTCGATGTTTGCGGCCCTCGCATTCGCTGGGCTGTTATGGCGGCGTGCATTGTTGGGGTCCCCCAGTCCACAGTCCATCACTGTCCGCCGGCCGGGCGCTCAGTGGCGGTCACCACTCAGGCAGTTATTGGACGGACGGCGGCAGTGATGGGTGGGATCTGAGATCAGCCAGCTGTCGTCCAGCTGTGGACGCACGTGCCCTCGTCTGCCCGACGTATCGAATGACGAAAGGCTCGATGGAACCGAATCTGAGCTCAGTGAATGTGATCATCGCACCCCTTCCATCTCATTTCCTCGACATTTCTTCGCTTTCTCTCGATTTTATATAAATCTTTCTCCAAGTGGATCGATACATTTAACGCAACCTTGCGGCTCTTAACTCTAACACAACGCCACCTGAACTCACAACCAACCTCTTCTGTAGCAAACGCCAACACATCGGATCTTTCATCGCCAAAACCATGCATGCCGCCAGTTCTAGCGGCCATCGACGGCGATAAAATATCATGAATTGCTCCCAGGATGCTGTGTGTTCTGGGTCTGGATGACTGCGGCAATCCCCGGTCCTCATACCGAACCCGACTTCGGGACTGGTGACGGCTCCGCATTGACGGAGAGCCCGGGCTGGGACTTTGCAAGTTGCCACACCGGTTGCCCTCGCCGTCAGCCCTATGGATCAAGAGACGGCGGAACTCGGACCTTTCGTGAAATCGCCTAGCAATCATCGATCCACCGCACGCAGGAACAGTTTTGCAGTGCATCAGCTCGCATGGACTCCGTCCAAGGTACCCTTGAGCTGCACTGAAGCCGAAAAAACAAGAAAAAGAGAAAACAAAAAAAAACCGGAATGCAAGAAGTGAATCGTTTCTGCTGGTCCAAAAGCTCCTGATATCCTTCTGCCCTACTGCCCTGCTACCCTGCTGCCGAGCAATCTGTGAAAACTTTTGATAGGGGTCAAGAAAGGACTACCCAAGAGACTCAGGAAATTGGCAAAAGGCTAATGCCTGAAGACCCAGGAAATCAGACAGGGTGCTGACAGATCTCTATCGCTCAAGTCCGAGCCTGTGCCTTGAAGCGCAGGCAAGATAGTGCTGGGCAGTACATTAACTGAGCGAACATATGTATGCTGCTTCGTGTGCTTACTATCGGGCGCTCAAAGAGGGATGGTCTTTTCGCCAATTTCCGCCGTCTCTACGGTATTCCTACAAAATGGTCTTCGGAGACATTGATCGGTTTCTGGATCCACAATTTCCTAGGCCCTGGCTCGTCGTCCAGCATTCGGATGTTGGTCCGTATGCGCGGCACTTGTACCGGCAACGACGGCAACAACCCCGGCGAACACCCGCAAACACTGCCGGAGAGGTTCGACCACGTTGCTTCCGAACCATCCAGGTTATACCCCTATCAGAGATGCCCGCGTCAAAGTTGGTTGTGAACGACCCAGCAGCTGAATTGACAAGAATGCCGGTATCTCACGCCATTGATCTCCATCTCTTGCTCTTCGTGCCGTTTTTTTAATTCAGGGGACATCTACGCACCAAAGACATGGAGCAAGCAACCCCGAGCACAAAAACACATGTTTCTTGCTCGTTACGAACAGAGCTTTTCTGTGTTGAGTTTGGCTCGATATTTTGACAGTGGCCACAGCCAGGGTTTTCGGTAGCGAGCGCACTAGCGGGCTTCTTCTCCTCTTTGAGTGCCATCCTGAGGCTCAAAATCCGAAGGTATCGTGGATCTCTCGGACGAACGACACGGGTTCCACGGTGAAAAAGTCCCCCGTCCCTCTAGACCAAGACTTGACTCGTTTGGGTCTGCCGATCCCGAGAGGAACACACTAGTCTAGTGTACAGGCCGCATAAGGAGCTTCTGATCGGGCTCCAGCACGCAAGGTTCAAAGCTGTCGAAATGGAAATCTTCTCTTGGTTGATGGGTGACACTAACCTTTCTCATGGTTTCCTCATGAGGTGTGTCCTTATACGTATGTTTCGTTTGGTTTCGTTTCAACAGAAGGATGCCATTAAAAGCAGGAACAAACGCTACGGGCAGGTTAAGCTTCTTTCAAAGGTTGCAACGGCTCCTCTTTTTCAGGGTCCGGCCCAGGAGCGAGAGGGGTCTCCACAAGCCGAGTGGATCTATTGACCCTAGCTAGCGTGGGGAAAGCTCTCGCTGACAGGGACCGGCTTCATTCCCAAAAGAGCTTGAAGGGGAACACTTGGACCAGTTAAATGGGTGGCAGGTACATATTCTGTCCACTAGTATCGCAGCTCAATGAGCCGAATGCAACAAGCCACCGACCGGGACCGAGAAGACGAGCGACGGCCTGCCAGTTTGCGTCCAGACGACAGCAACAGCCACTGTGCGAGTACTTGCGGCCAGAGCTTCTCCGGCGACGACATGCCTTGTTATTTCTCAGGTATCGATTGGCCATTTCATCGACTGCGCCGCAATGACGGAGCCGGTGCACGGTGTCAATTTATGCTGTGCTCCTCTCCTTTTATCACACAATTGCTGACTGAGGGTGCAATCTCTGTCTGTGTCCGTGGACGTTTGCTGGTGAGTTGATCAAGATCATATGGTAGGTAGACGACGTTGACTCCGGTCGAGACTTTTTTTTTTTCACTACCTTGAATATCAACTTTGGGGGAGAAAGAGCTGCAGCCAACTTGAGTTGGAGAGTTCAGACTGAACACCACGTCTCTCAAGCGGATTCCGGGCCCCGATTGGGACGACAGATAACAAAGAGAACCGGGGATTTCTGGCCAGATCTGGATGTCTGAGACCCTGACCAAGCTGCTTTTATCACTCGAGACATGCCGGGTATACCGTACAAGGTATGGCGATGACACCGGCAGTTAAGCCTGCCCAGACGATTCCAGCAACTGTAGAGCGTGTGACAAGGGCGGATAGCAACAGAGTTTAGTGCAGGACAACTTCCAGAGAAGACTGTTGTGAGAGGTGGTGGAAGGGTCAGCCACCATGCGTACCTTGTGTGAAGAGGAACGCAACCTGGCAACGTCGTGGCGACCGCGATACGATTCGATCATGACGGAGACGCTTTCTAACCTTGCTAGGAGGAGAGCGCTGGAGTGATGGGGCAAGCCGGAAACGGCCACGTCCCACAGGTCTCAACTCTTCAAGAAAGGCCAAGATTCGCTCCCCCGTTTCTGGTGTGCATGACAAACTTGAGGACCGAGGAAAAAAAACGAAAAAAAAAAAAAAAAAAAAAAAAAAAAAGATAAAAAAGGCGGCATTGGGCGAGGAATGATTCTTACAGACTTGCACGTGCGTTGTCGGGATGATCCTTAGGAGTCGGTGATTTGTTGTTTTATGGCATGTCAGGCAGGAATCGCTAGAAGTCGACTCGATCCGCAATTTCGCGAAGTGGTAGGCCAGCATAACCCTACCTTTGAAACCAGCTCGTTGTCGGCAGGAGCCGCCTTCTTCCTTTTCAAGCTGGAGTTTTGTCCAGGCACTCCCAGGCTCCGGGCCATATTCCGGACTCTGTAGCTGCTTTCAACCAACTATTCACTTGGGTACAGTAGACAGGCAGCAGGTTGGGATGGGATCGCTTGCACGGTGGGTGATTCTCTCCGGCTGGGCCTTCCTGGCATTTTTTTTGCCTTTCGCTTGAAAATAGTATTACGGACTATACCATGTCTGTGCCAAAAGCTGAACTCGCCTCTCCCAAGTGCCAGCTTGGCTTCGGTTGGCTGTGGCCGTCCTTTATTCTTGCAGATGAATATGAACAACACGAGAGCCCAAGTTATGGTCAAGGCCCATGTCTGGTTTGTTGGCACTGGGTCTCGTCTTCTGGCCTCGACAACAACGTTGAAGACATACCGGGGACTGTACCCCTGAGGTCAGTGTTTTAGGTCCCCCAACAACCTACGTCTTTTGATATCCCACAATGGGTCCGATTATACACTACAGCTATCTATGTATCTTTGTTCCATTCGTCCTTTGCTCCGTTCCTCCAGGGCATTGTCCAATGTTGAACCAAGGTGTTGTGCGAGGAGAAGCGGGGCTTATCGCTCCTCGTCACGAAATGGTGTAACCACAAAGTTGAAGTCTTGTTACAGTGCGACGAGGTTGGATTGGTGGTCTCTGGAACATGAAGAAGCTCTTGCCCAAAGTCAGTGGAAGTAGGACGGAAACTGAAAAGAACCTTGGAGGCAGTGGGGAGATGGCGTCTGTGGAGCCGTGCCCAAGTGCTGGCAGCGACGAGTGGCAGGCCATTCCCGTTAAACATGGGACGAACTGATTGGCCCTGGAACCATGCACGCATCCAGACAGTCCAATCAACGTTGTCCTCTTACTGGGGTTGTATATGCACCCTCACCGCCTCTTCAGCGTTGAGTGAGGAAGGAAGGAACTCTGTCTGTCTGTCTGTCTGTCTGTCTCTCGCTCACTTTCTTTGCCTTCAACTCTTGTAGTGAGTGGGTGAGCGAGGGGTTGACGGTGCACCATTGGCACTCTACGAGAGCACCATCCATCACTCTCAATTGGCCGTGCCGGGTTTCTTGCTCACTCTCAAGTGGGCTGGAGCCAGCCTCCCTCCTCTAATCCTCTTTTTTCCCTAGTCTCTCCACCCGCTTAGACTCTGTCCTCCACCTCCTCGTCGAGCCATTTCTCGACCCAGCAAAGCGTTGTCTCCATCTTCCAGACGACCAGACCACACACAACGCAGCCAAGCCAGCGCCGGCGTCCCTGTTCGCCTTTCCACGCTACGCTGGAAATTGATCAAAAGTGTGCGAGTGTCGTGGTTGTGTGATTCTCTTTTCACTCTGTCCATTTTTATCCCCTCTTCACACTCTACGACGCATAGTGAAGGAGGCAGAAACGAGTCTCTTTGCAACGCCCAGTTCGACCATCTCGAACACAGAAACAAAAGAAGATCAGGTACAGGTAGCCTCGGCCAGGTGCCTTTTTGCTCTTCTTCTGCTTTTCTGCGACGGTTCCTTGTCATGATCCTTTCTTGACCGACTCATTGTTGATCGAGAAAAGAGCGGTGTCATCCCCCTCACCCTCGTCGTCCACCACGGCCACGTCCACATCCACGCTCTTGGGGTCCTCTCCGTTGTCCACGTCCCCCGGACTTGTCAGCCGCCTATCCACGGCCCATCCACGCCGTCCACGCCCACTCACGCCCACGCATTCCACGCATACGCACTCGGATCGAAACGAGGCCAGACGGAAGGCCGATCCATACTAACGGAAAATCTCCAGTCCACCTCATCCTCGCCTGAACAAAACCCCATTCACCCCTTGGTTCCCGCTCCCGCTCCCGCCATCATGACTTACGACTTCACTGCCGCTGGGGGAGACGCCGTCTTGCTAGAACAACTGGCCTTCGACCAGCAAGACCACCAGCGCTACTATCCCATCATCACCTCGACCCAATCACCCCAGAACATCACCTCGACCGCGCTGACCACCATGTCCCAAAGCGCCCGTCAAAGCCTTAGCCCGGGTGCCACTTGGCTCCCGGCCGATCTGTCCGGAGGAATGAGCGCGCCCAACTCCATCCACTCGCCAAGCAGCAGCATGTCGCCTTCGTCGCCCGAGGACCAGAATTGCCAGTCGCCTGGGAACAGCGTCATGTCCAGCCCTCTTCAGCAACAACAGCACTCGCCTCTCCAGCACTCGCCTCTGCAGACCGGCACCCACTTGTTCCCCGACTGGACCGCTTTCCCCATGCAGACCCAGCAGCAGCAGCAGCAACAGCAGCATCAGCAACATGTCTCTGATATGCCTCAGTTTATCTCGAACGAGCCTCTGCTTGCTCTCACCAACCACTTCATGCCCAACTTCCACCAGCCCAGCGCTTTCGATTATCTTCCCGCCACCACCCAGGCCGCCATCGAAAACACGCTTCATTTGGAGGCTCCTTTCAACCACGCCATCTCTCCCGTCGAGGAGACCAGCCAGCAACTGCAGTGGAGCACGGGTACGGGCACGCAAATGGCGAACTGGCAGGATTTTGAGATGGCCATGAACTTCAACCAGCATAACGAACTTGCCCGGATGCCCATGGGAAGCCACTCGCCCACGGGCAGCTTTCTGGAAGTTCTGTCTTTGCACTCTGGGAGCGACAATGGCTGGGCTACCGTGGACATGCCTTTGTTCCAGGATTACAACAACTTTACCCAGCCCCAGCCTGCGCAAAATACCGCCATCTTTAACCCCGGCCAGACTTTGCACTTGAGGACCACATCTGAACTCTCACAACAGTCCGACTTTACCGAGTTCGGAAGCTACGAGGAAGTTACCTTCCCCTACTCGCCCTTCTCCACCGAGTCCGATGGCTTCATGGATATGACCAACAACCGCCACGGTTGCTGCTCCGGTGACCACCACCACCACTCTCCTCAGCCCACTGAGATCAGCCCCTCTTCCGCCGTTGCTCCCGTCCCTATCAAGGCCGGCTCTTCAAGGGCCGTTACTGCTAACGGCTCTGGCTCGGTTTCGCCCCCGCCGAGGAGAATCACTGGCCCGAGAAAGAGCCCTACTGCCAAGCCTTCCAAGACCATCGTTCGTAGGACTAACTCGACTGGCAAGAAGGACGGCACTGGTGAAAAGAAGGTTGGCAGGCGTCGTGGACCCCTCCTTCCTGAGCAGCGTAAGCAGGCCAGCGAGATCAGGAAGCTCCGGGCCTGCCTCCGTTGCAAGTTCCTCAAGAAGACCTGCGACAAGGGTGAGCCTTGCGCTGGGTGCCAGCCTTCTCACGCTCGTTTGTGGCAGGTGCCTTGCACTCGCATCGATATCAAGGATATTGGTTACTTTATGAAGGACTGGAAGGCCGACTACGAGCGTCACCTCGGCCGCGGCATGTCCGTCTTCAACGTCAAGGGTTTCGCCCAGAAAGAGACCCTCATGTGGATCACCCACGGCTACGGCTTCTGCCTCCCTGTCATGGTTCGCGAGGTGTTTGTTGCCGACGAGAGCTGCTTCCAAGTCGACTGGGTCGAGTCTACCTTGACTGACCAGGAGCCTATCGACTTTGAGATCCGCACTGAGCGCCTCGACGTTGGTCATGAGGGTGTCTCAGTGGAGGCTCTCTCCGAGTACCTCGACAAGCATGTCGATGAGGGCTTCGAGCAGTTCATTGATGACCATTTCGAAGGTACTCCCTTCATCACCGAGCTCTTCAAGACCGCTCATAGGTTCTACGTCAAGGAGCGCCTGCCTGTCATTCGCAAGGCGCTCAAGCTTGTTGTGGCTTACAACCTCACTCTTCACATTACCATGGTTGAGCAGCCGCCGACGGAGCAGCCCATGGAGGGTCAGATCGATGACGAGGATTCCAAATACTTTGGCAAGGTTGTCGCCCCTGTCATGATCAACTTCCAGATCAAGTGCGCCATGGCCGACATGTGGCGTGAGCTCCAGAAGGAGGTTCTCGAGGAGCTCTCTGCTCTCTACTCTTCGGTCTACAGCGGAGAGCGTCTCAAGAACTGGCCTACTATCTTCATGCTGGCTGCCATCCTCTTGGCTGTCTGGGAGGAGATCCAGTTCGACTGCCATTACCGTGTGCCTGACCCTATCGCTGTCAACAAGTTCTGTGACGATATGGAGTCTACTCCTGTTGGTGTCATTGTTGGCCTCTTCCACGCCATCTCTCAGAAGCTGCCCGCCTTCACGGAGTGGGATACTCGCAGGCATGGTCAGCTGCTTAATAATAACGTTGCCGTCTGCGAGGCCATGACCGAAGTTAGACAGCATGTCCTCAAGCATGGTGAGTGATGACCCCTCATTTAATGTCAGCATGGTGTGACCCTACATACTAACCGCGCGATAACAGAATCCTACCTTAGGACCCGTCAAGAAACCAAGTTTGACCGCTATGACTTTGACTCACTATCAAACAAGTTCCTGTCGAAGCTGGTCATTCGGGCCAACTAAGGTTGTTTTCTTGCTTGCTGCACTTTGCCTCTTTTGGTTGCGATACCCGTTATCCACGTTACGGTTACAGCACTTTACAGCAAAGCTCGCAAGAGCTGGTCTGTTCCGGTTTCCTGTTTTCCTCTTTATCCTTATCTCATGGGGCCATTGAGCGACGGCGTTCTCATCTTTATTTCTTTCTGGCTACTATTTGCTACAGTCAACCATCTTCTCCCTTTTTCTGTTATTCTTTGTGGCATTTTTTTGGCCGCGCACACTCACTTGGTGGCTGGTCACCACCGCGAACAACACGATACGAAATGACTGACGTCCCATCATGACGGATCAATATTTGATGACTACACATTTGACGAAACCCCAACGAATCTACACAAAACACACCATACACTACTACGCATACATCGCAAAAAAGTTCAAACCAGCACGATCTGCATGTCTGGCACTTTTGATAGTTTAGTTGGGAGAGAAGAAGTCGCTCACGGGAAAAGGAAGGGCATGGGATGAAGGAGGGTAAGCGAGTGGAAAGGGTTGTTTGATTGGACCGAAGAAAAGCACAACTCAAAGGGGAGGAAGAGGAGGAAAATGGGTTTGCATTGGGTACCTTGGCGTTTTTTGTCTATCTGATTTGGTCTTTTTTTTTTTTTTTTTTCTTTTTTGGTTTACCTACATATAGATATGGATTGATAGGTGGACTTTCTTGCATAAGCGCGCGCGGGCAAACCGCGACCTAGGCGAGAAATCCTCTTTTCGAGAAATATTTATTGGTTATTGTTAATGTGTATCACGCTGTTCGAGTGCTTGTTTTGGTGTGATGTTGTTGTTGAGTGTACTACAGCAGGCAATGTTCCCTCATCAGAGAAAAACGAAGAGAGTGGGTGTTTGTGTTCAAGGCCAACTTTCATCCACAGGTACACATTACCTGGTCCTTCACAGGTTGTCATGGAACCGATTATGGGAGGGGCCACAGAGCAAACGAGTTCTCGAGTCTTGTAAAGTGCCTTGGGTTGTGTGCTCTTGGTTTATTTCAAAGACGCAAGTCATTACCACGCAAAGAAAGCCGTTGGCCCGTTGGTTCTGGATGAGTGGAAAAATGCATTCCAACTCTTACGATAGAGCCTAGGCCAGACGAGTACATAAGTACTCAAGATCAGTGAGTGATTACGATTGCGAAACGGCAACCAGGCACCTGCATTGAACTTTTTCCACTACTCGCATTGACAATAAAAAGTATCATGTACCAATCTGATGACGCTCATGGTTGTCATCCGATCATGGGATGTCACAACCCGAGTCGAGTGGGTGTATTGAACGGACCGTAAGGACGATTCCCGCATTTGCGAAGACGGGAGTTGTGGGCGTGGCTGCGCGGGAGTCCCCGGGATCCCGTGCAGGAGGTGATGCCGGCTCCGGTCTCACCCGAGGTGGTTGGCGGGCCTGGCGGGCAGGGCGGAACTCGTCACCTGGCTCCAGGAGTTCGTGATGTTGCGCTGCACAACTTACCTCCTCTACTGTACATATTACACTCGTGCGTACCACTGAGCCAAGGACTCAGCATTCTGGTAACTCGCGATATGGATCATGCGTGAACGGAGGTTGGAGACTGTCAATAGCGGAGCGACCCTCCTAAAGTGCGGGGCGGTGGAGCCAAGAAAGAGGCCACGATAATGCTGGGCGATAACGGGAGGAACGGAGTCACGACATCATCGGTCGGGGGCTGGTGGGAACCCTTATGGCCAGGCACTGCAGTCAGGAGGTCTCCCATCTGTCACCGGTCTTGAATCTCTACCGGCGTCAACAGCCACGGTCGGTCGGAAAGCCGATAGAAAAGCGAACGAGAATACCTATTTCGAGCTCCCCATTCCCGTCCGGTTGTCGGTGTCCCGCCATGTGTCTCGGAGAAGCTCATCGTCGCACCAGACGGAGCGCTTACCTCAGCAGCCTAAAGGTCGGTGGAAGAACCAACCGTGAGTCCGTGACACCAGCTGAGCATTGTGGTTTACAGTGCCAGCTGACTCGCCCCTTCACTGTCTGGAGCTGAAACGATGCCTGGCCGGGATGCACCTCCCGTCCAGTTGTTCTTACGTTCGACGACCAACACCTCGACCACTTTGGTGACACTCTTTGTGGTGTTGATTTAAAAACAAAGTCCCAGGCCTCCTTGCTTTTATATAATCATCTCCATGTCTTCTGGTCAATTCCTCCATTGCTGGAAAATTGCGATCCAACAGTTCACTCTTCCCTGTTTGCCTCTCGGTGCCCTCGATCGGACCACGTCATTGACCGCTCACTTCGTTGGGGGGTTCGCTTATCAGATGCGGGGAACCAGCAAGGTGCACGTCGGTATTCCATGATGCCAGCTGGACTGCTGCTGTATGAAGCATCGAGCAAGAGGCCAGCAACAAACTGATAAGAGGGAACAATTGTAATATCATGGAGAGAAGCATGTCAAGATGCCGGCAAGCAACAAGAAGTCGAGATGGCCTTCACGGATTTGTAAACAACTGAAACTCGAAGGTCGTCCAGCCACATGCAGATCATTCTTTGGCTTATTCATCCAGAGAAAACCTAACTGAAGCAGGGCAAATAGCCCGGCTGAGGTGACTGACGCATTGACGGGCAAACGGCTGGGTGAGTGCCCGCCACTGTAGAAGGCGTCGACAGTGCGATCAATCAGCCGCGGTCACTGTTGGGGGGATGTCCAACCACTCCTGCCAACGGGAAACAGCCAACAGTCAAGGGGGGAACTGTCGTCTGACTGGCCTCTTCTCGCGCCTTCCCTCCACTTCTCTGTCACTCCCAACCGCCAAGTGGCTTGTGCGTGGCCTGTCAGTGAAGGTGAGTGACACACCACTCACACCGTGGCAGGCGTTGCAAACGGACCAGTGACGATCGACCTTGGGACCTGGCACCTTTCCGCTTCCACTCCAGTCACCTCTCCCCTTCACTCAGCCCCCCGCTTCGCTTCCCTTTCCAGGCAGTGGAAGCCTGGCCCCTCCAAGTTCGCCATCCTGATTCCTGCCACTTCCGCCGCCAGCACCTGAACCTACTTATTTAATCCTCCCCGCCCATCTGCATCCCCGATTCCATTTCTTCCGTTTTCACCATCTCTCTCCATCGCCATCATCGCAGGAGTGTTCATCCACGCACATATCATTCCCGCCACTCGATTCTAGTCATTCCGCTTCATCCATCAACAGTCCATTCGTCTACTGCACAACCGCCATCATGCAGATTTTCGTCAAGACTTGTAAGTTATCGCACGCTCACCGCATCATCACTTGGCCATCGACCGACCGATGCTAACTATCTCTTCGCAGTGACTGGCAAGACCATCACCCTCGAGGTCGAGTCGTCGGATACCATCGACAATGTTAAGCAAAAGATTCAGGACAAGGAGGGCATTCCCCCCGACCAGCAGCGCTTGATTTTCGCCGGCAAGCAGTTGGAGGATGGCCGCACCCTTTCCGACTACAACATCCAGAAGGAGTCTACCCTCCACCTTGTCCTCCGCCTGCGCGGTGGTATGCAAATCTTCGTCAAGACTCTTACCGGCAAGACCATCACCCTTGAGGTGGAATCGTCCGACACTATCGACAATGTCAAGCAGAAGATCCAAGACAAGGAGGGCATTCCTCCCGATCAGCAGCGTCTCATTTTCGCCGGCAAGCAGCTTGAAGACGGCCGCACTCTGAGCGACTACAACATTCAGAAGGAGTCTACCCTCCATCTCGTTCTCCGTCTGCGCGGTGGTATGCAAATCTTCGTTAAGACGCTTACCGGCAAGACGATTACTCTCGAGGTTGAATCTTCCGACACCATCGACAACGTGAAGCAAAAGATTCAGGACAAGGAGGGTATCCCACCTGATCAGCAGCGTCTCATTTTCGCTGGAAAGCAGCTCGAGGATGGTCGCACCCTTTCCGACTACAACATTCAGAAGGAGAGCACCCTGCACTTGGTGCTCCGTCTTCGTGGTGGTATGCAGATTTTCGTCAAGACCCTGACGGGCAAGACGATTACGCTGGAAGTCGAGTCCTCGGATACGATTGACAACGTGAAGCAAAAGATCCAGGATAAGGAGGGTATTCCGCCTGACCAGCAGCGCCTGATCTTTGCTGGTAAGCAATTGGAGGATGGTCGGACCCTCTCTGATTACAACATTCAGAAGGAGAGCACTCTTCACTTGGTGCTGCGTCTCCGTGGCGGCCAGTAAGCGGCTTGTCGTCTTTGTTTCTGATTCTTGATGACGAGGAAGGGTTCATTTGGGCGTTCAGCGTTTATTGGGTTACTTATTGCGCCATGGGTTGGGAAATGATGACAACCATGAAACAGGGCATATCTAGCCGGAATTTAATGGCACACGCTTCATACATACAGCGATGCCATAATAAAGACTATATTTACGGTCTCAAACTTGATATCTCTTGGTGATTTGCTTGTGTCTAACTCGTGAGCGTTTGTTATTCTAGTCAGCCGGTCAGCTGGTCAATTGGGGATGGAGTCGGACGTGTAAGTCGAGATGGTGGTGCAGTGGGTTGTTACACACCGTGCGAGGTGACCGCTGCGTGGCCGAAAGTGGCGCTCTTTTTTGGCGGACAAGATGCATCATACGTGAAAGGTACGTACCAACCGCCGAGTTCAGTTCGCGCTAGTCCGGCCGTGGAGCCCTCCCTCCCCCCCCCCCCCCTGTAAAGGACGATCCAACGTCCAACGTCAACTTCGTAGTTGTGGAAGGTTGAATGTGAAAGAGGACATCCGGAAGGACCTCTCATCCTCTCTAATCACCAGGGCAAGAACCATCATTGCATGGAGTTTGGACACACATGAACCTGCAGAGATAGGCATCGGCGACTGTGATTTACGTAAGGCCCGCGTCCAGGGTGTTTAATCGACTCTTCATCTTCTTGATCCTTCTCTGTCTTTCTCTTGCTCTGTCACTCTTACAGTCAACGCCATACTTTCGATAGTACACTTTCACCAAGTTTTTCATCAAAGCATTATCGTTCCTCGACCATCACAACAAGGAATCATTTCTTTGCGACCATAACATGAATATGCCATGCCTGTCTACCGCTATCATTTGAAGTTTGAGCTCTACCCCTCGCCAGATCCGACGCATAGCGCGCCCGCCGCAGCATTCCACCCCGATATCTGGTTACCTACCAAGGACTCGTCCATATTTGACGAGCTCCCCGCCCACCCTCGTACCTGGCAGCTCAAATCTTTGTCTTCAAGGCCATCGTCCAGGAGGAAACAGAATCGAGATATCATCCAAGGAGAAGGGCGAATCGAAGAGCAAGAGAAGGAGGGCCATTCGGAGAAAATTCCTCGAGCCTTGCCAGAATCAGATTTGGGACTTCTCAACGACAGCTCAGACCCCGAGGCGGAGGAAGGGACGGAAACCGGCGGAGTTATCGATTGCGGGGCATCCAGACCAGATTGCCAGAACCCCGAAGACAACAGGAACATCGTCAGGCTTTCAGGCAAGCAATCTCGCGCGACTTCTCCTCCGCCAAGATTCACGTCTGGGCTAGGGCCACGGACGGCAGCTAAGGACTGGCGCTTCGGAAGGATCAGCATTGAGAGCCTTGATCTGCCACGGGACGGGCATCTGCAGCGACACGCACAAACCGCAGCGGAGGACAATAATCAGAAGAAAGGCAAAGGGAAAGACACCCACAGCACCACTGCTGGAACTGGAAAACCGGTAGCAGCCAAGAACAACAAGTCAGCAATGGCCGAGTCACTGAAGGATCAAGGACAGCAATCTCAACAAGAGAAAAATGGCAACCAACACCGTGCGTCCCACGGTACGCCAGCGGCTTCTCTAGGCCCGAACCTCGGTGGCATGGGCCAGGCCACCAAAGGACGATACATCCCCCTCGAAACCAAGAACACGGAGGTTGGATGGGGCATTGTCCATCTGTACCGCGAAGCCGATGAGAGCAGTGCTCTTCGCGCCGGGGTGGGTGCAGGCAGCGCCAGCGGTAGCAACGGAACTGCTAGCAGCGGTGACGACGGCACTATTCTCTGCATTACTGCTGTTCCGATGTACATGAGTCCGAGTGACTTCCTGGGCTTCATAGGAGAAAAGTGGCGCGATGACGTGAGCCACTACAGGATGATTATGACGAGCAAGCTGAATCGGTACATGGTTTTGATGAAGTTTAGGGATCCGCAGAGGGCGAGGGATTTTAGGATTCAGTTTGATGGGAGGCCATTTGACAGTATCGAGGTGAGTGACTACTGGACTACATGATTTCCTGGCGTTGCTAATGTCAACTTTCTCAAAACCACAGACCGAGTTTTGCCATGTCGCCTACATCCAGTCCATCACCGTGGAATCACCTGGCGGCCAGAAAGGTTACAGCACGACCACGAGCAACGCAGGCGGAAATGGCAATCCAGTCGACACCCTTCCCTCACCCAGCAACACCCTCAACCTGCGACCCTTCCCTCCCCCTACCCCCAACCTGATCGAGCTACCAACCTGTACTGTCTGTCTTGAGCGTATGGACGATACAGCCGGTCTCATGACCATCCTCTGCCAACACGTCTTTCACTGCACTTGTCTCCAAACCTGGAAAGGCTTCGGCTGCCCTATCTGCCGCGCCACCAATCCCAAGCCTACTGCAGAGGAAAGCAACCCGGAAAACCCATACTCGCGACCCTTCGGCTCGGGACCTGTATCTAACCTCTGCAGCGTCTGCGACGAACCTTCGGACCTCTGGATCTGCCTGATCTGCGGCAACGTTGGGTGCGGCCGGTACAAGGGCGGTCACGCCAAGCAGCACTGGAAGGAAACTGCCCACAGCTTCAGCCTGGAGATGGAAACCCAGCACGTCTGGGACTATGCGGGCGACATGTGGGTGCACCGCATGATCCGCGAAAAGGGCCAGGGCAAAGTGGTCGAGTTCCCTAGTCATCATATCCACAACAACAACACGTCTTCAGAGCGCAACAACACTGCGCGTGCCCCTGCCCCGGCATGGAGCTCCCAAGAAGAGACCATGGCGGCGGTTACGGGTGCGCCTCTACCCCATCCCCCGGTACCCGAAGACCAAGAAGTGGTCCCCCGCGCCAAGCTGGACAGCATCGGGCTCGAATACACGCATCTCCTCACCTCGCAGCTCGAGTCACAACGCATCTACTTTGAGGAAATGGTCGCCAAGGCAGCGGACAAAGCCTCCAAAGCATGTGCAGCTGCAGACGCCGCCTCGGCCGCCTCTGCCCGCGCCATCCGAGAATTGACCGATTTCAAAGAGGAGCATTTCCGACTCAAGGAAGAAGTCGCCTCTCTAGAGCGGGACCTCACGCGCGAGCGCAAGCGAGCCGACAAAAGCACGGAGCTGGCGAGGAACTTATCGAAACAACTCCAAGAGGAGAAAAGAGTAGGGGAGGGGTTGATGAAGCGGATCAAGCATATGGAGAAGGAGGCCGAAAAGACGCAGGAGGAGTTGAAGATGTTGAGGCAGCAAAATGAGGAGTTGAAGGAATCCAATCATGATCTATCCATGTTTATTAGTGCTCAGGAGAAACTCAAGAGTATGGAGCAGGAGGGACAAGTGACGGCGGAGGAGTTGGAGGAAGGGGGAACGGTGCTGATTCCTGCTGGGGAGGGGTCGAGTGCGAATGGAGGACAGGGGGGTGGGAAGAAAAAGGGGAAGGGGAAGAAGTAGGTTTTCATTCCTGAGAAGTGACTTTGGTGATTTATGCTTCAGTATTGCTCCCTGTAGCTCGGAAGGGCGTGTTGGGAAGCACGGAATCAGGTGAATGGAGAAGGGGTGAAGGTTACTTGACCTCTAGCGAAAGTAGTTTGCGATATGATTGCATATACTGATTAGCGATGGAATTAGGAAATGGCTTGGGAAGGAGTATGAAGGCTATCCGTTGCCTCTAGCGGGCATAGTTTGGAACACGATACGTACGATTGGTACAGCATTGCTTCGATACTCTGATATCTGTGTCTTCACCAGATAGAGTGGGTTGGGGGGCGCTGGTCCTCCATATCGCTTTGATAGCCAAATAGGAAATTGTTTCTACTTGTTTATTTCCTTCGGTGCTGACGATCTTTTCCTCAGGCGTGTTGGGCTTTTGTTACATACTACCAACGTACTACTGGTATTGCCATTTATGATTGAGACTTCTCAATCTATGCGTTCCCGAAAGAAGGTGAAATTGCTATCTGAGGCTCGAGCAAAGTGCATCTCCGTGTAGCTTTAGGGGTTTACCTCGACAGAATTTACATTTACTTGTTGGAAAGCTTTCGTGCTTTTGAACTCTAGGAAGCACACCTACCTGCGTAGCCTCGTGCTAGCACGGCTGTTCTCGAAATTACAAACCGGAGCTATACGCGTGAATGTATATATGTATATATGTATCCGAGAGAAATGGGAGGAATTATATGTTTTTGTGGAGCAAATCAACGACTACAAGTACACCTGAAAAAAGAGAGTGACCATGGTTTTGTTCATGACTAATCATGAGGTAGGTTTTAGTCAAGTCCGAGAATTTCTTCACATATCCTCGAATTTATCGACATGCTACATCGCCAAGTGCGTCCGGTATCACAGGGGCCAGGCCACTACCACAAGATGAACAGAAAAGACCTGGCAAGTTCAAACTGAATCGATGACTGAGATGAAAACGCAGCAAATCTATCGGTCGGTATATATGCAAGAAGAAGAAGAAAACCTCCCTAAAAAAAGTCCATCCAAAGTAACAACTCTGGCCTGGCCGCCTTGCTGATGACAACAGTCAAGAACAAGAGGAGAAGATGAAGGAAGTCGTAAACAAGAACGAAAACAACAACAACAACAACAATAACAACAATAACAACAATAACAACAATAACAACAATAACAACAATAACAACAATAACAACAATAACAACAATAACAACAATAACAACAATAACAACAATAACAACAATAACAACAATAACAACAATGACAACAATAACAACAATAACAACAACAACAATAACAACCCTAAGGGTATCAACGGCATCTCTTTCCTCTCATAAGTCATCCATCCATCGCGTCTAGTAACCCGATCTCCGTGCTTCATGTACATCATCAACATCTACATCTTGGTAACCCCTTGGCTACCCATCGACTTCTGCCACCAACATGCCACTCAGCTAGCTTCCTTCGTTGCGTGACAGTCGCCAAAAGAAAATAGTTGGGAAAAGAGAATGGAAACCTTGATAATACTAGCATGCCTCTTCGCTCGTGGATTCTCGACAACCGAGCGAGTCCCTCCTTCGTGTCACCCTTCTCTTCCGAGCGAGTGATGGGCTAGGGCGAGAGTGAGCTCTGTTAACGAGACTTTCGTGTAACCACCCTTTTTTTTTCCTTCCTTTTTTTCCATGCCCGAGTCCGTCTTCACCAGGAAAAAGAAAGGGAGACGGTTGG